ACGAGCAGCTCGAGGCCGTGCTCAAGGACTGGGGCCAGCCGAAGTTCCGCCTCAAGCAGATCCGCGACTGCCTCTACGGCGACGCTCCGGCGGGCGACATCGACGCGATGCACACGCTGCCAAAGGCGCTGCGCGCCAGATTGCGGGAGCACGCCACGCTGGGCGAACTGGGGGTCGAGTTCGAGCAGCAGTCCAAGGACGGGACGCAGAAGCGCCTCTGGCGCTGCCACGACGGGTCGCTCATCGAGTCGGTGCTGATGCCGTATGACGACCGGCGGAGCGCCGCCTGCATCTCGTCGCAATCTCGCAGCGTGGTTCCTCTCTTAGAGGCGGCGCGTTTTCTGCTTCAGGCGCACCGCGTGCATCTCGTCGCAGGTGGGCTGCGCGATGGGCTGCACCTTCTGCGCGACCGGGCAGATGGGCTTCCGGCGAGACCTCAGCGAGGCGGAGATCTTCGAGCAGGCCGCGCGCTTCTCCTCCGAGCTGCGCGCGCGGGGCGAGCGGCTGAGCAACGTCGTCTTCATGGGCATGGGCGAGCCGTTCCGCAACTACGACGCCGTCGTCGGCGCAGCGCGGCGCATCATGGGCGAGCTCGGGAGTCGGCGCGCTGATTCCCTCGAGATTCCCCGAGATTCCCCGAGAGTAGGCGCATCATGGACGAGCTTGGGATCGGCGCACGCCACGTCACAGTCTCGACGGTCGGCCTCGCGCCTCAGATCCGGCGCAGATCCCCCGAGATTCCCCGAGATTGCATCGGGAGTTGGATTGGCAGCCTCTGCCCCCCTCTGCAGTCGAATTCTCTAATCTACTCTAGTTCTGAGCCTCGAGGCTTGGCGGGTCTAAGTGTGCCCTGGCACGCCGGGGTGCACACGCGGTCTAGGATCGGCGGGAGCCTCTTATGCGGGCTAAGTCTGCTGTGGCCAAGACGCTCCCACCGTGATCAACGATACGGCCCCTCTGCAGCCCCTCCTTCTTCTCCTCCTTCTTCTTCTCTTTCTCCATCTCTCTCTCCTTCTCCTCTTCCTCTCTCTCTCCTTTCTTCTTCTTCTTCTTCTTCTTCTTCACGCGGGAGGCCTCGCCGTCTTCGATCTCTAGGCGGTTTGCGGAGGAGGGGCTCGAGGTCGGGCTCGCAATCCTAGAAGCGGACCTCTCTCCCCATCTCTCCCCACCTCTCCCCACCTCTCCCCATCTCTCCCTCCACCTCTCCCCACCTCTCCCCACCTCTCCCCACCTCTCCCCACCTCTCCCCACCTCTCCCCATGTCTCGGGCCCTAGAAGCGGAATACGTGTTCATGTCTCCCAACCAGCACTCGAGAGGACACGCACTCCGCTGCATTCCGCCGTATCCGCCTGTGTTCACTGCCTTCCTCTCCGTTGTCTTCCCCCGGTGCTCTGAAGACACTTCGCAGTACCGTCCTCCCGCCCTGATGTCGGCGTACTCAGCGCGCAGGCTCGCAATCTCGCTGCACGAGGCCCCATATCTCCCCACATCTCCCCATCTCTCCCCGCAGGCTCGCAATCTCGCTGCACGAGGCCGACGACGTCGCGCGCTCCGCCATCATGCCCGTCAACCTAGAAGCGGAACACGGATTCATGTCTCCCAACCAGCGCCCGAGAGGACGCGCACTCCGCTGTGTCTTCTCCGTTGTATTCACGCGATGCTCTGAACACACTCTCTTCCCGCCCTGAGGGTGGCGTCCTCAGCGCGTAGGCTGCCCATATCTCCCCATATCTCCCCATATCTCCCCATATCTCCCGCCCTGAGGGTGGCGTCCTCAGCGCGTAGGCTGCCCATATCTCCCCATATCTCCCCATATCTCCCCATATCTCCCGCCCTGAGGGTGGCGTACTCAGCGCGTAGGCCCGTCAACCGGAGGCACGACCTCGACGAGCTGATTGGCGCGTGCCACTACTACGTGGGGCGCAGCGTTTTCTTTTTTCAGGCGGCGTGTTTTCTTTTTGTAGGCGCGTGTCACTACTACGTGGAGCGCGGCGTTTTCTTTTTTCAGCCGGCGTGTTTTCTTTTTGTAGGCGCGTGTCACTACTACGTGGAGCGCAGCGGCCGGCGCCTCACGTTCGAATGGGCGCCGATCGCCGCGCGGAGCGACGCCGTCGCTTTCTTGCTCTGTTCTTGCTTGCGCACGCTGTGTTTTTTCTCTTTTTGTAGGCGCTGATCGCCGGGCGGAACGACGACGCCGCGACCGCGCGTCGGCGCGGCAAGCTGCTGCGGGGCACCCCGAGGTCTTCTTGTTTCACTGTTTTCTTTCAGTAGGCTCGGCAAGCTGCTGCGGGGCCTCAAATGCCACGTCAACCTCATCCCGCTCAACCCGAC